AGGGTAAGTTCATTCTAACTTGAGCCTTTCTTACCTGTAAATTGTTGCAGGTCGGTTGGGCTCCTCTTTTCTTCTTTTCCAGGTGCAGCATGGCGTCATTAGAAGAACTGCTGTCGGGTCTGCGGTCCGTGGTGCAGGAGAAGGGAATGGCATGGCTACAGGAGCAGCTGGGGGTTCCGAGCACGTCTGCTCCCCCCCATGCGGTGCCGGATCGGAGGCCGGAGAGGAGAGCTAGGCCGCCCCAGCGGCTTAGTCCTGGAGCGGGTCCTGCAGCCAGACGGAGGAGGAGCTCGGCGGGAAGCAGTGCGGCGGCCGGAAAGCAGGGACGTGGAGCGGGTCGTCGGCCGGGACCGCCAGCTAGGCGCAATGCCGGGGCGGTGAGGTTGCAGGCCAGGAGGAGGCCTCCCTTGAAGGGCGCCCCCTGCCGGATGGCGGCGGGCGGGCAGGCGGAGCTGACAGCTGGTGCCGGAATGGAGCAGGACGGAGGGGAGTCGGCTGCAAGACCCAGGAGCAGCCCTGGACGTCCCGGTGAGTCGCCCCCTGGGGGCAGCACTGTGGGGCAGGAGGGATTGAGAGGGGCTGGCAGTGGCAGGACAGCGGTCTCACAGGTTGGGGAGAGGGACCAGGTCAGCAGGGCACAGCAGGAGGCGGCTGGAGTTGGAGGCAGGAAGGATAGCGCTGCGGATCCAAGGGATCAGAGGAGCATGGCCAGGAGCTTGGGAAGAAGGGGAGACGGGCACAGCATCGGCAAGTCTGGGGACCCAGGAGACAGGAGGAGTGGCAGTATGGAGCGGAGTGGCAGCAGGCGGGTGACTGGCCAGGAGGACGGCGGCACCCAGGACAGCAGTGGGCGGGAGGCCTCTAGGGGTCGATCCCAGGAGCGGCTCGATAGGAGGAGCGCCAGCAGAGGGAATGGCGGAGGATGGCAGCGCGGAAGGGCAGAATGGCGGGACAGCAGGTCAGGGTCTGCAGGCAGTAGGAGACATGGGAACGGGAGCCCAGCAGGGAACCGGAGCAATAGGAGGAGGTCAGCTTCTCGGGACAGGTGGCTACGGCGCCGGCGCAGTGAGTCAAGGTCGTCTGAGAGGAACCACACGGCACGGAGGAGGAGAAGTAGCGAGCGGGAGGGACGATGCAGGCAGGGAAGTGGTGAGGACGGGTCTGATCACGGGAATGAAGGGCGGGTGAGGCTGCAGTCGGACAGATCACCCAGGCTGTATTCTCCTTGCAGGTCGTTGAGTAGGACGCCCACGAGAGCAACACACGAACAGGCGGGCAGGAGTCGGCGTCCCCTGGTTCCTTCTGGGTCGGCTGTCGTGGTGGAAAAAGTGGCGCCCCCGCGGCCAGCAGCGGCCGGGGGCTTGAGCGGTGAGTCTCCAACTGCATCACACACAGGAAGCTTACTTGGATGTTTAAGATCTCTGTTAGATTCATGGTCTGGGGACGGGGGGTCTCCGACACAGTTTGAGAAAGTGTGGGTTGCGGACGGCGGTCGGACAGCAGGGGTGAAGGCCGCAGCGTCAGCGGAGCCGAAAGGGGGTGAGGGCGCCGTGGGGACGGGTCAAGGAGCGACGGGTGACGTGGGTGAGCATGTCGTTCTCTGCGGGGAAGTAACGGATGCGGCACGGCAAAATGTGCATGTGTCTTTTGCGGGACCGCTAGGGTGCCACTTAAAGGTGGAGGTTAAGGAGAAAATTTGGAAAGGGGAGTTCGTGGAAATATTTTCCCTGCTTCCCCTGGAGGAATTTTTAGACTTGAAAGAAGAGGATAAAAAGGATGCGAAAAAGGAAGAGGAGGAAAAGAGGCGGAGGTATCGGAAAATACCCAAGTCTTTTGGGAACTGGTTGAGGGCCTTTTGTATTTTGGCGAGCGTGATCGGGGAAAAACACCCGGATCGATGTTCGCAGCTTTTTTGTTATTTAGACGGGATAGGGGAAGCATATCGGACCTATGGGGGTTTAGCATGGTGGAAATATGACGAACAATTTCGTCAGCGATTGGCGGCAAATCCGTCCATGCGGTGGGACCAGATGGACTTGCCTTTGTGGATGAGGCTGATGATGGCACAGAAAAGTGCCCCCTTTCTCGGAGCGGCCGGCACGGGCTCAGGTACCGTGTCGGCAGGTCAGAAGAAAGGTTTCTGCTGGCTCTACAATGAGGGCCAATGCAAGTGGGGTGCATCTTGCAGATTTAAGCACGAGTGCTCCGGTTGCGGGGGTAATCACGGAGTTTCCAGGTGCTTCCGAAAAGGTAAGCCGAACTTGGGAGGAGGGGTTGTCGGCACATCAACAGCTGCGGCTGCAGCTGGGAGCGTCGCCGGTGAAGGTAAGCGCGATGCTGCCTTGGTTAAAACTATACGATAATCAGGAGGTAGCAAAGTTTTTACGGCTGGGTTTTACAGAGGGTTTCAGGATTCCGTTTCAAGAAAGGGCTGCGGGTGGGTTATGTAAAAACCTTCGGTCAGTGGGGGAACATCCGAGCATAGCTCGGGAAAAGTTATGTAAGGAAGTGCAATTAGGGAGGATGGCGGGACCATTCGCTTCCCCGCCGTTGGTTGGTTTGCGGGTGTCTCCACTTGGGGTAGTCCCCAAGAAGGAGGCGGGTAAATTTCGTATGATCCATCATTTATCGTACCCACAAGGTACATCGGTTAATGATGATATCGACGAGGCCCTGTGTTCTGTTTCCTACACATCATTTGACAAGGCTGTCGAGTTGGTTAGGAGAGCGGGACAAGGGGCTCTAATGGCGAAATGGGATGTGGAGGCAGCTTTCCGGCTGCTTCCCATACACCCGGATTGTCATCACTTATTGGGGTGCTATTTCGATGGGGGGTATTTTGTGGACTTATGCTTGCCTATGGGTTGTGCCATCTCGTGTGCTTACTTCGAGAGGTTTAGCACCTTTTTGGAGTGGGTCGTACGACGGGAATCGGCTGGGGGTGCTGTGGTGCACTACCTTGACGATTTCTTATGCGTTGGCCCACCACGCACGGAGCGCTGTAGCCAGGTGTTGAGGACCTTCCAGTGGGTGGCGCACACATTTGGGGTGCCGTTAGCAGAGGACAAAACGGTGGGGCCCACTACGTGCCTCAGCTTCCTGGGTTTGGAGATCGACTCGGTACGGAGGGAGTGCAGGTTGCCCGGGGACAAATTACATGCCCTTCAGCGGCTAGTGGACACGGTTGGTAGGGCGAGGAAGGTCACCTTGCGTGAACTTCAATCGTTGATAGGGAGCCTGAATTTTGCGTGCCGAGTGATCCCTATGGGGAGGGTCTTTTGCAGACGATTGGCGCGGGCGACAAGCGGGGTGAGAAAACCGTCGCATTATATTAGGGTGTCAGTGGACATGAGAGAGGACTTGGAGGTATGGGCTAGGTTTTTGAGGGAGTTTAACGGGAAAGTGTTTTTTCGGGAGCCGTTGGGAACCTCCACGGCCGTGGGTTTGTTTACGGATGCATCAGGCAGCATCGGTTTTGGGGCGTACCTAGCGGGTAAATGGTGCGCGGAGGGGTGGCCGGAGGCATGGAAAGCGAGCCCCTTGATTAGGAATTTGGCCTTTTTGGAGTTTTTCCCGGTTGTTGTGGCAGTGGCGTTATGGGGTCCGGAGTTAGCCAATAAGAGGGTGGTGTTCAATTCGGATAACATGGCAGTGGTGCAGGCTATCAACGGATTATCGGCTTCTTCATGGCCAGTGGTACGGTTGTTGAGGCAATTGGTTCTCTTGTGCATGTCTTTTAATATTGTGTTTCGCGCTCGGCATATACCGGGGCTTACCAATGTTGTCGCTGACGCGCTGTCTCGCCTACAGTGGGAGCGTTTTCGGGAGGCGGCGCCGGAGGCGGAAGAAGAGGGTCAAGCCTGTCCGGCGGAGATGTGGGAGCTCGGGACGTCTTGCTTGGGGAGTACATAAAGAAGTCTCTGGCGCCTGGGACTTGGTTCTCCTATGTTAAGGTCTGGCAAGTGTGGGAAGACACGATGCAGCAGGTAGGGGTGACGGGCCCTGGGAGCAATCGGCTGGACATACTGTTATGGATCCTATGCCGGTTGTTCGCAAAGCAAGCGTCGCCATCAATGGTTGATAGGTACATGTCAGCGTTGGCGTTTTTGTTTAAGTTTAATGGATGGGAGGATGTGACGAAGCATTTTATAGTGAGGCAAGCGGTTAGGGGATACAGGAAAGGTAAGAAGACGAAGGATACGAGAAGACCAGTCTCCTTCACAGTGTTACAGGGGTTAGTGAACAAACTACCTGAGATATGTTTTTCTGTGTTTGAAGTGGCGTTATTTACAGTGGCTTTTTCGTGGGCCTTTTTTGGAGCATTTCGGATTGGTGAGTTGCTTAGTGCCAACAAGAAAGGGGTTGGTGGGCTTAGGATGGAAGATGTGACGGTTAGTAGGGACAGGGTGTTGATCCACCTGATTCAATCAAAGACGGATGTATTTGGTAAAGGTTCCATGGTCACGTTGTTTGGTTTACCAGGGTCGGGGTTGTGTCCGGTGGCAAGTGGGGCTGGGTTTTTGGAACTACGCCCGATAGGGAGCGGTTGTTTCTTCATACATGCCGACGGCACGGCACTGTCGCGCTTCCAATTTGTGCGGGTTTTCCGTTTGGGATTACAGAAGTTGGGTCTGGAGCCCATGCAGTTTGGAACACATTCATTCCGAATAGGCGCGGCGACAGAAGCGGCTCGCTTGGGTTTAGGGGATGAGCGGATTAGACGAATTGGGAGATGGGAATCTCTCAGGTTTCGCTCTTATGTACGGCCAGATAGGCTGGTGTGAAGGGGTGGTTGATTGTGGGTGTTTGGGATGTGCTGGTGATGTTTCCTCAATGTTATGTTTTATTTTAGGTTGGACGGTGTGGATAATTGGCCATTCGTATATCCATTGGGCAAGGAGGAGGGCCGCAGTTAGAAGACATGGAACACAGCTGGGCTTTCCTGAGGATCGGGTGGCGTTATTCTGGTTCGGTTATCGGGGGTTTGACTGGCAGCACATTATTACGGTATTGTTTCGGAAGGTAGCGGAGGAGCCCTTGCCGAACGTGGTGGTAATTCACGGGGGGGGAAACGACTTGGGTCTGGTCCCCCAACGTGAACTGGTTAAGTGTATGAAGCAAGACGTTGACAGACTAAGGGGGCTTATCCCTGGCGTGAAAGTGGTATGGTCGGAGATGGTACCTCGTTTATGCTGGAGATACGCCAGGGATGAGAAGGCAGTTTCTCGATGTCGGGGTAAAGTGAACAGAACCATGGCGGTGTTCATTCGAAGGTTAGGAGGCGTGGTGGTGAGGCATCGGGAATTGGAAGAGAGATTACCGGGTTACTTTCGTGATGACGGGGTGCACTTATCGGATGTTGGTTATGACCTTTTTAATTTAGGTTTGCAAGACGGGATAGCGCAAGCCCTGTTTCTGTGTGGTGGGGGTCGCACATGTCCTTAAGGGGTCAAGGCAAGTGCTGTGGCGGAAAAGGTCTTGGTTAAACTGGAATTTTGGTGGGTTAAGAAATTGGTAGGCCAAGGTCTAGGCTGGAGTAGGCCGGAAGTCAAAAGTATGGAGGTAGGTTCGAGCCCGTCGGTGGCTACGAACCAAGGGGTGTAGGGGTGTCTGGGTACACCCCTGCAGTTAGACAAATGGAGGTGGGGCCTCTTGGTAGGCCGTTGAGTTACGTGTATGTATTATTGGTTATGCTAATGTTTGTTTTGGTAGGGTCATTGTCGGGGGTATGATATAGGAAGAGAGCCTAACGAAGGAGTACTGTTGACAATGACCCTAAATTGTTAATTTATATATTGATATTAATTAATAAAGCTGTGGACTTTATACTCCAACAGAATTTTCTGTGTCTGCGTGTTATTAAAGTATGGTTGGCACATGCCGAATAACGACTGTGCAATAATGTCATGAAACCACGGAGCAACGCAGGGAGGAGTGGGCCTTGACAGAGCCAGGAGTAGGCAGGGTGAAGTTCAGGTCAAGAGGCTGTCCTGTGATTGTGCTGGGGGGCGTGGGTTAGAAGGGAAGTTTAAATAGCGGCCATTTTAGGGTAAGTTCATTCTAACTTGAGCCTTTCTTACCTGTAAATTGTCCCTCCCACCCACCCTATGAGTTAGTAGTAGTTCCCGTTTGGTCACAGCGGCGGGAAAAGGTCTTGGTTAAACTGGAATTTTGGTGGGTTAAGAAATTGGTAGGCCAAGGTCTAGGCTGGAGTAGGCCGGAAGTCAAAAGTATGGTGGTAGGTTCGAGCCCGTCGGTGGCTACGAACCAAGGGGTGTAGGGGTGTCTGGGTACACCCCTGCAGTTAGACAAATGGAGGTGGGGCCTCTTGGTAGGCCGTTGAGTTACGTGTATGTATTATTGGTTATGCTAATGTTTGTTTTGGTAGGGTCATTGTCGGGGGTATGATATAGGAAGAGAGCCTAACGAAGGAGTACTGTTGACAATGACCCTAAATTGTTAATTTATATATTGATATTAATTAATAAAGCTGTGGACTTTATACTCCAACAGAATTTTCTGTGTCTGTGTGTTATTAAAGTATGGTTGGCACATGCCGAATAACGACTGTGCAATAATGTCAAGTGTCTGTAAACCATAAAGTGTTTTAAACAGACGGACACTACTATAAAAATTATCAACATAAAGGTGGTAACCTTTATTAAACAAGGGGTTTAGTAGGTCCCATACAAGTTTCCAATGTGTCCCCAGGTTGTCAGGACAGCCAGGAGGGTCCAGTTGACCATCTTTCCCCTCATATCCACGAAAGGCAAACGTGTATCCACTTTCGCTCAGTTTGTACAGTTTTATGCCATACCTAGAGCGCTTTGAGGGGATGTATTGTCTGAACCCTAATCTCCCTTTGTATTTCATTAGCGATTCATCTATGGATACATTTTGTTGGGGGGTATAAACATCCGAAAATCTGTCCTGAAAATGGTCTAGCAGTGGGCGTATTTTATGAAGCCTATCGTATTGGGGGTGATCTCTAGGGTGACAGAGGGTATTGTCACTGAAATGTAAAAATCTCAGCAGTAACTCGTATCTGGCTGTAGGCATGGTTTGGGAGAATACTGGACTAGACATTATGGGGTTGGTGCTCCAGTATGAGCGAATCAATAGCTTCTTAAATAGTTCGACATACTGCATTACATTAATGCCTGCGTTGGCACTAAAAGGGGGGACGTTGGGTTCGGCTAACTGTGGAGGTACCCAGTCCTCCTCCACATTCGGCGTAGGAGAGGAAGCACAGCTTCTTTCTTCAGCCGGCTCACACACAGATGACATGTCGTCTTGACTAGACGTGTCAGAAAACTGACCTGGGTCAAAATCTGACGCAGTGTCAGTGGCGTCAGAGTCTGACGCCAAGAAGGCATATGCCTCCTGCAAGTTATACATACGCTGCATGTTTTACACACGACTAAAACAAATTACAAACACCCAAAAAAAAATTTATACTTTTTATTTTTTTAACTAAAACAGACTAAACAACAATCCCTAAACTAACTCCTGTCACAAAAATCTAATGGAGATTTGGGGGAAGGAAACTGACTGACCAAGACAGACCAAGACACAGATTTTTAAAACAAATTTAACCCTTTAAGGCAAAAAAAAAGGCAGACAGTACAAATGCACTGCTGTAACAGATCTGGCAGGGAAGGCGTTAAAAATGATTTTTTTTATTCACTTTAGATACTGTATAAAGCTCTGGAACACTTCTGCTGCAACAAACCATCACAATCTCTTTCTCTCTCCTCTCACAAAACGCTACAGAGGAGAGAGGGGCAGAGATCACTGTCAAAGTGAGTGTTTGTAACACCCACTTTGACAGCAGCCAATTGTGAGCGATCGCGGGTCGCTCACACGCCGCAATTGGCTGTTACTATCTGCCTGGGATGTCTGGCAGATAGTTACAGTGTTATCCCGGCGGGAGCGATCTTTGATCACTTCCCGCAGCCCGTTTTTCGCGATGACGGTTCAGGACGGTTCCAAGCGTACGTTTTACCGCTGACAGTCCTGAACCGTCAGCGGTCCTGAAGGGGTTAAATTAGTTTTGTTTGTTTTGTTTTTTTAGCTTGATTTAGCCAAAGATGTATTGTTTTATATTTCGCTCATTTAATTATCTACATTTTAATGCTTTTTGAAAATAGTTTTTATTAATTCAATCGAAAATCAATCGTCATCAAAGGCATGGATTCTAAACACATCATACTGAAGACTTTTTTAAATTCACATTATAAATATAATATCGGGGCACAATTAAAGCTCTATGTCAAATATTATTTATTAATTGAAGGTAAAACTTAAAAACCCAGGGATAGGCCGACAAACGTAAACTACGTCAGGGATCTTGTTTCAGGATCTGTCAATGTTTAATAATAATCACAATAATCTGGTCATAGAAATAATTACACCCTGTTTAAAAGGGTCCCCTGGCAAGCTTGTGTAAACATTTGGTATCTGGGCTTCTTCAATACTTTATTATTTGGTTGTTCACCAGAAAGTCTAAAATGAAATGTATGTGTATTTGAATGGAGAATTTGCAATGACTCAAATCCAAAAAATGGGGTTCGACATCAGGTACCAGCACGGTGTCACCACATATAACAGGACTTTTGAACGTTGAACCATTGGTACAGGACACTCCATTTAAGGACAAGACACTCCATTTAAGGACAGGACACTCCATTTAAGTTATATTGCTGGTTAATTCCTCTTTTACAGCTTTATTGGAAGTAATTTTAAATGCTATCTTATATCATTGTGCTCACTGTATTCCTTCTCTTTTTAAGCAAAAAACAACCATGTCACAAATGCATTTAAATGTTTATGTTTAATAAATAAATATTACTTGGCAATGAATTTCTTTTGTGTTGGCGCCCCGATATTTATTTGTAGTTTTCATTATATTAGTCTCTCATTTTATACGAGGTTGTGGCGTGAATTTTGTTACAACACACTTTTTTCTTATATTAGCACTTTATTCACATTGGAGATAAACTCAAGAGGCAGCAATTGCCCAGAGCACCTGCCTTGCAAAGACTTCTCATTGAGCTGCATTGGGAAGTCTGTGATTGGACAGCCACAGAACGTCTGAGCAGGGTTAGTAGGGGAGGGCTTGCAAAGTAAGCAGACAAGAGATCTACAGATTATGCAAGCTGATTTTAAATATAACCCTAACGATAAAAGGCAGAATTAAATGCATACAAGTTTTCATTTGGGTTGTATCTACTAAATAGTGATTTTTAAAATGTATTTTGTATTTGGGCAGTGGAGTGTCCCTTTAAAATCGGTACCTTTGGCAGCAATTACAGCCTCAAGTCTTTTTAGGTATTCTGCAACAAGCTTTGCACACCTGGATTTGGGTAGTTTTTGTCATTCATCTTTAAAGATCCTCTCCAGCTCTGTCATCGGAAGAGAGCCACATTCAGGTCTCTCCAGAACTGTTCGATTGGGTTCAAGTCCGGCTCTGGATGGGCCCCTCAAATACATTAACAGAGTTTTCCCTTGCATTGTCTTGGCTGTGTCCTCAGGTTCAATGTCCAGCTGTTGGAAGTTAAACCTTAGGTCCAGTCTGAGGTCCCGACCTGAGAACCAAGTTTACATTAAGGATTTCACAGGTGATGGTTGATGCCTGGTTTCCTCCAGACATAATGCTTTGTTTTGAAGCTAAACAGTTGAACTTTAGTTTTATCAGAACAGAGAATCTTGTGCCTCACATTGTGAGAGACCTGTAGCAGCTTTTTTTTTTTTTTTAAACCCAAGGAGCATCGTCTTGCTTATGTCTTGCAATAAAGTTTCTGCCTGGCGAGTCTGCCATGAAGGCCAGATCAGTGAACTTCTCATTGAGCTGCATTGGGAAGTCTGTGATTGGACAGCCACGGAAAGTCTGGGCGGAGTAAGAAGGGGGAGGGATTGCAAAGGCTGCAGACAAGAGATCTGTAGCTTTTGCGCAGACAAGAGATCTGTAGCTTTTGCAGGCTGTTTTTAAATAAACCCCCAATGTAAACATATGTAATTAAATGCTTAAATGTGTTATTCTGGGGTATATTTACTAAACAGTGATTTCATTAATTTTATTATTTGTGCATTTGGGCAGTGGAGTGTTCATCTAAGGTTGGAGGGTATTGACTTGCTCGAAATGTTTTCTCCTAAATGCTACCCCAAGCCTAAAAGACAAAGGTTTCAACTTTCAACTAATCCCTTTCAACAAGGGATAATAAAGTTAATAAAGAATTTTTGCATGCATTTTCATTTTGACAAGGTCTGTGTTGCCATCTAGTGGAAGTAAATTATAAAATTACGTTAATAATGCTTATATGAAGGAATATATTTATTAAAAGGCCCCTCTAAA